TATTTTTAACACCATACTTTTTCTATTTTTTTAAGTAAGATATTGTGATTAACTGTGTCGAACGCTTTAGATAAATCTATAAAAGTCCCTAATACAAATTGCTTTTTATCGAAAGAATTACTCATGCTATTTACAAGATCTAAAATGGCATGTTCGGTTGAGTGTTTTGTTTGAAACCCGAATTGTTTTTTGTTTAAGAGGTTATTTTGAAGGTGATATTCTTATAATCTATTGTAAACTATTTTTTCAAGTATTTTAGAGAAAGTAGGCAGTATAGAGATCGGTCTGTAATTATTTAGTAAGATGTTTCGCCTGTTTTAAAAATTGGTATAATTTTAGCTGTTTTCAATTTATCTGGTACAGTACCTGTCTTAATTGATGAATTAAATATTTCGAAGATCGGTTTGCGTATCTCCAAAAAGACATTGATAACGATATTGCTACAAATATCATCTATACTTGGAGATTTATTTATTTTAAGAGATTTTATCGCAACTTCAAGTTCTTCAATTTTTAGTTCGCTAAATGCTAATTCGTTGTTGTTATTAGTTAAGTATGTCTCAAATGAGTTGTTTGGACAATTAATTTTTGTAGCCAGGTTAGAGCCTATGTTAACAAAAAAATTGTTAAACTTTTCTGAGATTACGTCAGTACTGACATACTCTTCATTATTTATAACAACTTTAGTAGATAAATTATTTGGTTTGCAATTTTTGTTCCCAATTATTTCTTTAATTACGTCCCACGTTTTTTTAATATCACCTATGGAGTTTTTTATTTTATTTGAGTAATATATATATATATATATATATATATATATATATATATATATATATATATATATATATATATATATATATATATATATATATATATATATATATATATATATACATATATATACATATATATATACATATACCTTTGTCACAACAAAGGTCATTGAAATTAAAGCCACTTCTGATCAGAGAGCTGAAAATATCTGAGGCTAGATTGTTTACACTTTAAAAAGCTTGAACATTGAAAATAAATGCATCGTCTATGTTTGCATTGTCATAACACAAAACACTAACTTTGAAGATTTCAACAGGCACCAGAGCACTAATATTTATAGCTTTCTGAAAAGAGTCTTCAACCATAAGATGTTAGGATCTGGTTTTTATTACTTATTTTTTGCTCAATAGTATCCAAAACTGTTTGGACAGAGGACTTTGATGTAAAGCCAATTATTTTGAAATTATTTTATTACTTCTCAATATATACCAGGGCTGTGGAGTCGGAGTCGGAGTTGCGGAGTTGCGACATTTTTAGCGGAGTCGGAGTCGCTAAACAAAATTGCGACTCCGACTTCAATAGTAAAACTTCTCGGTATTGCACGTGCGTATATAAAACATTCAATTAGCCTTATGTTTATACTAAATCTCAAAGAACGTTTCATAAATTTGTCAAATAATTTTTTTTAACTTATCGCATAATATTTTTTTAAGAACTCAAAGAATTTTTCAAAAATTTTGCTTTGGAGTTGGATTCGAAGTCGGAGTCGGAGTTGTACTCAAAAAATTTCAGCAACTGGAGTCGTTATTTTTTTTTACGACTCCATACCCCAGTGAAAACTGAAGAGCTCAAGTGCAGTTTTAATTTCTTAGATGCAGAATATAAGTTATAAAATAATTTCAGCAAAGAAAGTGGAAATAACTTCATAATTAAAAGCGCTTTTGAGGTTTTTAAACTTTTAAAATTTGAAGAAAAGAGTACTTAATAAAAAAACGTTTTACAATAAAAAATTTATCTTCAAAATAATAAAAAAAGAGAATTTTTCGAAAACATCAAAGTCAACAAATTAGTGAACTTGTGTTAAAACGTCAAACAAAAATAAAGTAAAAAAAGAAAAGCTAATAAAATACTTTCATAGCGCTGTCGTTCTTACAAAGTTTGGATATTAAGTATTTACACACTTTATTTTTGTAGTTAGACTTCACATAGGCTTGAGATTAAGCCACAAAAATGTTATAAGTTATAAATTCATATTTCTAAACTTTCAATTTCTTATTAGTTTATATTTGAGTTTATTTTTTATTCCTCAAAGAAATCTCATACATAGACTTAATCTCTTCAATATTTTTAAATATATTAAACTACTCAGTTCTTTTAAAAGAATTGCAAATATTTGATGAGGCGTTTTAATAAATTTATTAATTTTTAAATTAAGTTATGGGCACTGTTCTATTACAAACACAAAGATGCACAGAAAAAAATAGATTCCCAGTTTTTTCAAGTTCAAATTCTCCTCTTTAACTTTTTCATTCTACAATTAGTTGCTGATTTAAAATTATAGATTAATAAATGAGCAAACAAAAGCCATCCTCGGCTCGAGTTGAAAGAAAGTGCAACAATAATACATTAGCAACTAAAATACATAAGTAAATAAAAAATACAAACAAATGTTTTCGTTTAAAAACAAACTTTAACTTGTGTTAGCAAAATTATATTAAAAACAGGTGCGTTAAATGCATTCATATATATTTTTTTAATATTGGATATAATATATAATTTATGCAATGAAAAAAATTAGAATTCATCCTCCGAATTTTCAGAACCCAAAAGCAGCATTAAAAGAATTTAAAAAACTCAACTGGAATGGGTTGCGAATTGCCATATCAATATTATTGGTTTTATCATTTTGTACTCATAGCGCATGTACATGGTTTCCTGTGTGGTTAAAACAGTATGATATACATAGCCAAGGGATTTGGAGAGTTTGTAGTCAGACAAGAGATGGAATTAAATGTCTTCGATATATTGCGTTACCAGGTAACATATTTTTTATTTATTTTTAAATCAACGAAGAGAGAAGAAAAGAGAGAAACAAAAACATATTAAGAGAGAAAAAAAAGATCTCCATCTCCATTAGCTACTTATTATTTTATTACCGTTCTAAATATAAAAATAAATAACCTTTTAATATTTAAAGTATTTATGTAAGTTATATAGAAATGCAAAGGCGTTGCAATAGTGTGCAAAGAGAGGACCACCAGACTAGAGGACCACCAACTCAACAATATATATATATATATATATATATATATATATATATATATATATATATATATATATATATATATATATATATATATATATATATATATATATATATATATAAATATATATATATATATATATATATATATATACATATATATATATATATATATATATATATATATATATATATATATATATATATATATATATATATATATATATATATATATATATATATATATATATATATATATATATATATATATATATATATATATATATATATATATATATATATATATATATATATATATATATATATATATATATATACATCGGTTAGGAAGGAGGCGTGAACTTCCAACTAAATGCTCATCTGCGGTTCTCTGTGGTAAGACCGTAAAGACTTCTTAGGGCACCTAAATATTATAAATTTTTTATTGCGTAAAAATTATTATTTTCTAACAAAAAATTAAAAAAACCCATTTTTTCATGGCTTTTGTTAAAAACTGGAGTATACATGAACAGATTTTTTACTGAATTGTTAAATTTTATCAAGTGATTGATTTGAGCAAATTGTGTCAACTTGAACAAAGCAGTACAGCAAGATGGCTCATAAACGGAGAGTATGGTGTCTGTATTGTCTCGATACAGACAATACAGACACCATACTCTCCGATAAACTATTCCATACATTAACAATTCGATTAGAAAAGAAACACTTAGTGCTGTTTATATTACAATGATGTTTGTACAGTTTAAAGCTATGACCACGATTATTCAAGTAAAAATTGATAATAAGAATGTTTGATATATCAGTTATTTGTAAATAATTAGATTTTCAGTCAAATGGTAAAACATGAATAAAACGTTCGTAAATTTTTAATTTATTTCATGTCTCTAGAAAACTTACATCAAATTCCCTACAAAGCAAATATGCCACTTCTATACCACATTGTATATGTAAATACCTTTAAAATCTGCTCGTATAAACTTCAATTTTTTTTACTTCTTAAATTGACATCAACACCCCTCCCCGGTGTTAATTCTTGTCAAACTTTTCAGTACTCTCTCCTACCCCTCCCCCCCTATATTTACTGGCATCATTTATGGATGGCCCCTAAGGGGTCGTCCATAAATTACGTCACGCTATAAGGGGGAGTTGGTGGTTTTGTGACGACTCATTCAAAACTCGCTTCTTAAGTGTCACGATTTTGTGAGGAGGAGGGGGGGGTCAAAAACGGTAAAAATTTGCGTGACGTAATTTATGGACAACCCCTAAGGTGACCATACTGAAGAGCAATGTTCAAACATAGGTCGTACATAAGTACAGTAGGCTTTAACCATCAGCGATCTATCTCGTGAATAAAATGATTTTAGAATAAGATAGACTTTTGACATAGCTTTATGACGATAAGATTGATATGTTGATTAAATTTAATGTTCCTATCAATTGGAATTCCAAGATCTCTTATACAGTTAACATTGGCAAGTTCATGGTTATTTATGGTATAAATACGATCGGTTATATTTTGACTCTGGTTAGCAACTGTATAGACAAAGGATTTTTCAGTTACTATTTGGAGTTGCTAAGAATAATTCTATTTGTGCAAACATTTAACAGCTGTGTGAAGGTTTGACTGAGGGCCACGTACATCATAGACTGAATATAATTTGATATGATCAGCAAAAAGTTTAAGTTTGACATCAAGCTCTTTATTAATGTGGCTCATTGATAAACAATAAGAATAGGGTAGATTCAAAAACGCTCCTCTGTGAAACATCGTTTGTTACAGATATAACGTGGGAAGTAACATTGTTTAAATTTACCAACTGTGATCTTATGTGGAGAAAATTAGTGAGCCAATTCAGAAGATTTCCAACTATTCCGTAAGCGGGTAATTTCTTTAGTAACTTAATATGTTAAACTGAATCGAAAGGTTTCTTAAAATCAAAATAAATAATATCTGTAGGAATGTGGCGCTGAAGATTTAAAGTCCAGTCATGAAGACTTTCTAGAATATTAGTACAGGTACTACATTTACGAATAAAACCAATAAAAGAATAAAATTGATTAAAACTTACTTTAAAAATGTGAAAGGAAAAATAAAGCAAATTTTAAGGCTTATTTAAATTTTTCAACAACAGAAAAAATCTCAGTGCTAAGGATAATAGAAAATTTGATTAAAAATAGACAAATATAAATTAAAAAACTTAAGTTTTGAAAGAATACAGAGAGGAACGCGAATATAGTAATGGGTCAGTAAAGTTGCAGTGATTATAAATCTTTAATAAATATTGGTCAACAAAAACTGAGAAAGTCGAGGCTGTTAAATTGGTTAGCCAAACAAAGCCATGTGCACAAAAAGCTGCCATATTGCATCAACAACTTTAGATGTCTGGTGTCTATCTTCCTCTATCAACTCAACCTGCAATTCAAATGATAGTCATCAGAGAATGTAAAAAGTTACAAGATAGATTGAGAAAAAAAACTAAATATCAAAATTGGTGTTTGCAATTTGATGGGAAAAAAATTGCGGGCGGTAGAACATCAAGTAGTTGTGATAAAAAACAATATATAATATGTTAGGATATATATATATATATAAATATGACTCGCGTCTAATAAAATAATACGACTTGCGTCTAACTAAAATAAATGGTACTAAAGAATGGAATATCAGATGTAATTTTTGAAGGACTTCAAGTAATTTTAAATAAATATAATTTATGAGGATCTATAAAAACGATCGTGGCAGACACTACAACTGCTAACTCTGTTTGCTTTGAGAAACCTCTAAATAATAAATTGAGTATTAATGTTTATGTCTGGATGAATTTTTTGTAGATAATATAAATTCAACTGATCTGGCATATTATTTTGTTGAAACAATACGTAGTAAATATGAATATTTAACGTAAATAAGTAAAATATGAATATAACCACTTATTACTGATAATAGTGGTAAGGGAATGAAGGAGAATGAACTAAAATGGAGAGATAACATGCCGTTTTTAATGCATCTTATTAACGTAGTAAAATACTTTAGGAATAAAAAGCAGTTTTTCAAGGTTGTCGATCGAAAAGTCATTCAAGCCCGGGTGATTCATTGCGAGGGAACATTCAAGCAATTTATTTTCTACTAGCTACTTACTAGTTCCTTCAGACACACAACGACTTGAGATTACATTTAAGCTTGTTGCTGAAAAATGGGAAGATATCTGGGTTTTAAACCAAATGTTTTATCAAAAATAATAATCTAAAGTCTATATCTATGGATTCACGAAGTTTTGGTGTGATATTCATTCGTCTATAAATACGCAAAGATCCAACATATGTGCCGAACGAGCAGTAAAAGATTTAGATGATATCAAAAGTCTTTGCGAATCTGAAGAAACTTTGTATTTGAAATAATTATTAATAAATCACATTTAGTTATTAATACTTTTATAAATATAATACTTTAAACACTTTGATGTTTTATTAATTTTATCAATATACTCAGTGGGCGCGAGTCGTAAAAGCGTCGTCTTTTAAACGTTTAAGAGATACCTTATTTAGATCCCTGACCATTGCGTAGCTTTATTTAGGTGATATATATCTTTATTATTTATTTTAATATAACTTATTACTTTAAGACTAAGTGGAAAACATTTTACTTCAAATTATTATTTATTTTGATATAACTTATTATTTTAAGACTAAGTGGAAAACATTTCAAATTAAATGCTCTCTAGATGTATTTGTTATATGTAAAATGTGATGACGTAAACAAAATGATTTTTAAATGTTTTTGCTACTTCATTATATACGGATAGATACCTAATGTTTACACCATTAGGTATCCATCCATTAACCCTTGTTAAATCGTACAGAAAAGCTTTAGTTAGTATGAACAACTATAGTGGTATAACTATTATTCCTATTTTTTCAAAAATTCTTAATTTCTTATCTTAATAATTTTTTTTTTTTTTTTTTGTGCACCAAAAAAAAAAAAAATTATTGTGAACTTCCTAGTTAAATGCACCGCAGACGTGCATTTAACTAGGAAGTTCACACCACTTTCCCTACCGTGACACGAAAATACGTCCAGAGTTCGTTTCGAACCTGGAATCTCCTGCTTATAAAGCAGGCACTCTAACCACTGCGCCACGGCAGATATATATATGTATAACATATATATAATCATATGCCCGGAAAATAAAACTTCTCACCTTCATTAACTATTATGTGTTACAATCAATCTATTGTATGATTTCTAATTTATTTTTTTGCTTTGTATGTAAAATTATAACACTTAAAAGCAGTTTAAAAATACTGTGATTTAAAAATATCCTCTAAAAACCTTTTATTTTACTTAGAATACTACGCTACTATACAAGCAATGATGGTGACAGGAGGGGCAATACATGTTTTAAGTTTCATATACTTTGTTTACATGTTAAAGCTAAAAACAAGATCAGCTCTACCACTAGCTGGTACTTTGACAATAACTGGTAACTTTTTTTTAAACTTTTTTTATAGTTCAATTCAAATTGTAGAATTTAAAATATACATATACGTGTATATATATATATATATATATATATATATATATATATATATATATATATATATACATATATATATATATATATATATATATATATATATATATATATATATATATATATATATATATATATATATATATATATATATATATATACATATATAAAAAAATAGCAATAATAAAAAATAAGGTCCTCAATATTTGCAATTTGCCAACTATAGTTCAAAACTTCAAAACAAAGCTCAATGTGCCAACTCAAATGCTTATATGACAGCTTGAGGGGGGGGGGGGTGAAGATACCCCTGACGCCCCCCTTCAAGACGGCCCTGTATAATATATATATATATATATATATATATATATATATATATATATATATATATATATATATATATATATATATATATATATATATATATATATATATTATATACAGGGCCATACATATAATATGTATATATTAAATGTATATTATATACATATATATATATATATATATTTATATATATATATATATATATATATATATATATATATATATATATATATATATATATATATATATATATATATATATATATATATATATATGATATGATATGGTTAGATATGTTTTTCCCATCATGTATCATTTAACGGTTTAACAATTAATGATGGAAACTTAAATTTCAAAAAAATATCAAATTTATTAAACACATAAATAAGTAATGATTTTGAGAAAAAATTTTAAAAAAGTTTCTTATTTTTGAGTTAACTATAGTTTTAATCGCACTTCTACTTTTAATTATTTTTTAGTATCTTTATTCTTATAAACTTTTTCATTTTTTTATTTTCAAGAAAATTAAGTATACGAGCCATTAACCTTTGGTTAGATTTTTGCTTCACGGTATCCTTACCGTGATGCAAAAATTGGTATCCTTACCGTGACGCATTAATCTACCTAAAGGTCTTTTTGGGGCACCTAAATAAAAAAAAAAAACAAACTTTAAAGTCTTTGACGCCTGCGTGAAAATTGCGCATTGTATCCGTCTTCCGCCGGGCCTGGGTAAACCTAAAATTTATATTTCTATAAATTGCAATGTAAATATATGGAAAAATTTTATTGTATCTTCATGTTAAATATATTTCTATAAAAAATATCACATGTTAAATATATTTCTATAGAATATATCATAGCTGAAATGTGACAACTGTATTGCCTTTTTTTCCAGATATTTTACGTTTACACGCATGTTTTGCGCTCTATTTTGACTTTGAAATACCCAAATAGGTATGAAAAAAAATTTAATTGAATTGTGAAATAATTCATTGCCATTTGAGTATGCATTTTAGTTAAAAATAAATGAAAAAGTCAATATATGACCTCTGATTTGCTAACAACTTTGCCCATTGAGAGCAGTATGGAGCTTTAGCGGATCAGTTATAGATCAAATTTGTAGACAAGATGGTATTATTTTGCTAAGAAATTTTTTTTTTTAATTTAAAAAAATTTTTTTAACTTTTATGTTTTACATAAAAGTTAAAAAGAAGTTTTTAATTTTTATGTAAAAAAGTTTTTAAAAGTTAAACAAAAAAATAAAATCATAAAACACATGAAAAGTACTTATAAAATATATAATATATTTTTATATATAATTATATATATAAAATATAATGAAGATAATTATATATAATATATAATTATCTTCATCTTTCTTTTTATAAAAAAAAAAATACTATACATATATTACTATAAATCATTCTTATAATACGCACTCACAGAAACACGCAAACACACACACACACACACACGCACACACTTATACACATTTTTTATGATTAAATTTCATAATAAAGTTTAAGAAATGTTATTTTAAATTGATTTTAAATGAAAATTTTAATTATTCTAAAATTATTCAGGCATTCTTTCAATCATTGCGTTGTCAATATTTACAGAAAAAAATTTAAAAACAGTGTTAAGTTCAAGCATGGAATTTGGTTGGAGTTATTTTGTTGGGTGGATAGCGTCAGCGATATGTATTATTGCTGCAGTGTTATCTTTCCAAGATGCAAGACGAAAACTTGACAACAGTGAAAGTTCAATTAAACTGAACAACAAAAAGCTTGACAACAGTGAAAATAAACTAAACAACAAAAAACTTGCTAACAAAAACACGATTAACAACAACCATTAAAAAATTAACCACTGCAAAAGTTTGATCAAAACCTTAAAATTTATAATAAAATGCTTTATTACCCTGAACTATTAAAAAATTTTCACCTAAAACATAGTTAATCTGAACAGCCTGGTGAAAGCTAGCAATTATATCTGATATTTTTATCTCGTTAATCTGTTTTAAATGTAATGGAAATGACAATTTGACTGAACATTGATGAAAAACAATGATTGTATTCAATTTTGTATGGTTCGCATCTATTTTGAGTAAATTAACGAGTACCTTTGTTTGAACAATTAACAAATTTAAAATCTTAGCTTATTTTGTATATTTTATTGGCATCTTTAACTAAAAATATACAAAAAAGTTTACTTATCTAATGTGTTGTTTTTTTGTATCTGTTTTTGCTCTTAGATTTGTAACAGAGGAATTAGCATAAGTTTATAAGAAATATTTTTAAATATCAATACGATTGAATTCACCAGATTTATATAAATGAAACTTTGTATATTACTGTATGTATGTATGTATGTATGTATGTATGTATGTATGTATGTATGTATGTATGTATGTATGTATGTATGTATGTATGTATGTATGTATGTATGTATGTATGTATGTATGTATGTATGTATGTATGTATGTATGTATGTATGTATGTATGTATGTATGTATGTATGTATGTATGTATGTATGTATGTATGTATGTATGTATGTATGTATGCATGTATTTTTTATATATCATAAACTATAAATAAATTATAGCTATAAGCACATCTAAGCTTAGTTTTATTTTGAAAATAACTTCTTGTAATATATCTTTTTGTAGCTTTTTGTAGTTATTTCTAATAAGTTTAATCATTTGGAAATATAACTTCAAATTTTACAACCCCAAGTTCACAAGTTTTTATTATACAGTTCCCAACTCTTGGAGATAACTAAATAGTAGTAACTCGGTCCAATCGTCTTATTTATGATGTTACTCTAGTTAAATGAACTGATTTGACAACACGCTTTGTAATCAACTTGGGCAGAGCCATACGTGGTCGATTTACAGTTTGTTACTCCGCCAAAGAAGTTTATACCTTTAATAGTTTTTTTAATTTTTCGAAATGAAAATCGAGCTCCATTGTTCTAAGTTTTTTACTTGTTTAATTGGCTCTTATTTTGATATTTAACAATGTTTCCAATATATTTAAATGAATATTGATAAAACTATATGATATTATTTACTTTCTTGCTTTAATGGAAATATTTATGCAAGCTTTAACTTTTTTATTATATTGGAGATCCTATTTTATTTAACTTGTAAAGCCTATCTAAGGGCTCTATGAAAAGATTGTGGTGACTTTAGTCATCTAGCCCACCATTTTTTGTATGTAAACGTTTTTTTGTAATTATATTTCTTATTATATAAACAGCAAATATATATTTAAAAAAAAAAATTATGTGGAGATTACTTGGCTATGCAATACCATTATTTTTCTGTTTCTCAACAAGCAATTTTTTTATGCAGAGGTGTGACGACGAGACAACTGGTAACTTAACATTTTTAAGAAGCGACAGTAGCACGGTATCAGACTCAGGTCTTAACGTAGCATTTTCAACTGCATTTAGATGGAATCCAAGCAAGTACTGTTCAGCTCTTGATTTTGAAATAATGACCTTAAGAGGTTCTTTGCAGGTTATCATCAGTACAGTACAGGAGCAGCCGTTACTTACTCTATTATTAACTTTAGCTTGCAATATGAGGTTCTTACAAATCCTGAGTTAGCAAAAGAAGTAAGAATTCTCACATCAAGCTGGTTTACAGTCCCTTTTTAAAAAACATGGAGATTTAGCAGAGAACAGCTAAATGCAACACTGAGCACCTGGATCTTTAATCTCAACGTCAATTGTGATTCTCTGAAATATATCGTTATAATGTGTCCAAACAGTACTTTATTCAGACGTTAGCCAGGAAAAAAATAAGCTGTTATGAACCCTCGTGACGATAAATGGGAAAACGAATTTATCTATAATGCTGGGAATATTGTCATATTACAAGTGGAACATTTATTATTTAACATGCAAAGCAATTTGAAAAACCATCTCCACTATTTGGGTGTGATAGCTCGTCAAAATGGTAAATCAATACAAATTGCTAAGACCCAATTGACCGGGACCAGTACCGTTGATGTTCATTAACGGTACAAGCGTCAAGGTACTAGCATCAACGGTACTAGCGTCAAGGTGGTAGCGTCAAGTTAATTAAATACTAGCGTCACGTTACTTGCGTCCAGTTAATTAAATTCAAGGTGGCTATTTCAGAAAAGTCATTACGTTACGCAATTTTTGACCGTTTTAGACCCCCTCCCCATCCTCGTAAAAACATCGTAACTTGTTTAGTAACTGTATAGATTTAGGTCTGTATAGATTTGTCACAAAAACATTTATGGACGACTCCTTTATTAAAATTTGAGAAAAAATTCTAACGACAAAAAATAATTTGGGCGCGAAGATTTTGCTTGTGTACGTAAAGAGCTCCCCAAAAAAACCAAAAAATGGAAGTAAAGCCCCAAAATTTCATTCCCCCTTACCCCAAATGTGAGGGTAACAAGTTAATTAAATATTTTTTGTACTATTCTCTGCTAGACTTATATCCATTGATAAATTTTAAGTTTCATTGTATTATCTTTCAGCGTTCAAAAATTATGACCATATAACATTTGCAACCCCTCAAATTGAGTTAGGTTAAATCTTTATATGGTCATAATTTTTGAACGCTGAGAGATAATACTATGAATCTTAAAATTTATCGATGAATATACGTCTAGTTAAAAATAGTACAAAAAATAGTTTATTAACTTGTTACCCTCACATTTGAAATAAGGTATAAAATTTTAGGGCTTATTTGTTCGCAGCCTCCAATTATTAATCAATTTTTTGCAAAGTATCATTATATGATATAGGTATAAACATACAAATATTTGGAGTTTGCTCCATGTCTGAAAGTTATCTCAAAAACAAAAAAATGCTGAATCCGTCACTGAACAGAATATTTATTATTTGTATTTATTTATGCAAAAAGTTTTTATTGATGCAAAAAGAAGTTTTTAGTAAAGAAAAATTAGTTTAGTAAAGAAAAATTAGTTTGTATACGAGAAAAATAGATTTTTTAATTTTAGTTTTAATGCGGTCTAAATAACATTTCTAAAATGCTGTTTTCATATAGAAAATTGTACTTTAAATGTGTCAAATGTGTTGTGTTCATTTAAATAACGCTTATTAAATTGAAAAACAGTAAATTAGTTATGAATAGTCATTTCATACACCCTTCATACGCCCTTCATACGCCCTAATATTAATGTTTTACACTAAAATAACAGGGAACATTACACAATAAAATTCTCCAGGCCTCAAACAAACTATGATCTTATGATAAAAATGCTTTGCAGCTACGTTACTAAAGTGTCTGGAATAAGGAGGAGTCAGGGAAAATTCAAAGACTCCAATCAACCTGAAGAAGCCAAGGGACTTTTGATGTACTAATGATTCATATCATTACCTAGACTCTTATATATGGAGATACTATTTTTTTTAACTTGTAAAGCCCACCTAGGGGCTCTATGAAAAGATTGTGGTGACTTTAGTCATCCGTATCTTCTTTGGGCCCCTGCCTGTTTTTTATAAATCTACTTTTTTTGTATGTAAACGTTTCTTTGTAATTATATTAAAAAAATATGTTTTAAAATTCAATTTTACTGAATGTTATTTATTTGTATTTACAATACCATTAAGTACATAAATAAAAATCACGAAAATGTCTTGACAACCCATGACTCCATCTACCTGTACAATCATAACCACTCCTGGAGACAATGTATGACCAAATTTGATTTTCCGATATCAATTACCTATATTTAGATATACAGCATGTACCATTTTATTGAAAAACCATTGGAACATTCTAGGACCGCCCTTGACTACCCCTAAAATGATCACCTAGGCGGTCATGACCACTCCTCAAGACCGAATATACCCAGTTTCAAATTCTCTGACCACAATTACCTATTTTTAGACATACAACCCGATATTTTTTCAATTAGATGGGACATACAATATGTCCAATCTAATTGAAAAAATATCGGGACATCTCAGGACCCTTAACCACCACTAAAATGATCATTTGAGTGGTCATGATCACTTCTAAAGACCAAATATGCCTTGATTTGACTATATAAACGTTAAGTGCTTTAACGTTTTTAAATAAAATATTTGAATGAGAAAAACGATTTTCAAAACATATTAAACTCATTGCGTGTTTCGTAACTTACTTTTAGACGTACTTCCCCAAACAATATTTCCATAATTTATATAGCTATGAATAAATGAATAGTAGAGTTGAATTTAATTTTGTTTACTTAGATAGTATCTGACCTTTTATAGAATTCCAATACTTTTAGCCAATTTAGTAGAAATAAAGTCGATATGATACTTTCATGTAATATTTTCATCTATGTAAATGCCTAAAAATCGTTTGACCGACTCCTTTTTTATTTCAATTTTATCAATAAAAAGTTTTTGTAAGATATTTGTTAAAAAACGCTTTTTTGGGAGGGAGTGGAAAAGGGTCCATTTTGTTTAGTCAATATTTAAAGTTAACTTGTTGCACTTAAACCAATTGGAGATGTGATTGAGTTATTTATTCATAATTGAAAAAAACTCAAAAGTATCAGTTTGACAGAAATAAACTAGTATTATGTCTAAATTTAATCCATAAATAGTTTTGCCAATTTTAGACAATTCTGGACCACTGCGCAGCACCATAACATTTTCCAATGTGAAAAATTTTTTGGGCCTGTAAAAATCTGATAAAAAAATCTGGTGACCTAAAATTATTACCGACGTGAAATGTTTTTTGTGCCTGTAAAAATACCAGAAGTGAAAGGTTTTCAGCACCTGTAAAAATCTCAGGCGAGAAAAGTTCATTGTACCTGTAAAAGATTGTGAAAAAATGCGTGAAAAGTTGTGAAAAAATAAAAAGATTCAAAGGGGTAAAAAACTCAGTATAATAAAGCACTTTTTAATAAAATAAAGACCTCTGTTAGTATACGACACTTAGGTAAGGTGTAAAAAGCTTTTTAAGTACTTGCGGTTTGATAGCATCAAACGGCAAGTCAGGTGACAAATTAGATACTTTTTTTTATAAAATAATGACTTCTATTAATGGACGCCACTTACGTAACGTGTGAAAAGCTTTTTAGGGGTTGGTATCAAATCGCTATTTTACATCATGGAAAACTTAATTTAATAACATAATTAAATAATTTAATTAATAGATCAATTAAGTTAATTATACTTAATTTAACTTAGAAAAAATTTATATTAAACTTTATTAAGTGTTATATCAAATTCTTATTTTTACGTTCAAATTAAAAATCGATATGCTACCGAATTCCTTTTTATATTTTCGTCATTTTCACCATGTTATAATTTGCGATCAAATAGTTTCTATAACTA